GAATTAAATAATCACATGACCTCAGATCACACGTCGACGCTGTTTCATTTCAAGACAGTATTAAATTCATTCAGTGTTTGATAACTGATGGTTCTTCAAAGCATAAAAATGGTTCATGAAAATAAGCAACAAAAGTGCGACAAGGAAGCCTGAAAAAAAAAAAATCTGAGTGATGATCATGATTACTAAAAAACTAAAAGGTAAAAATGAAATAAAATAAAATAACAATTCCCCCATTAATGTGACCTTTAACCTGTGCAGCTCAATTGAATAAATCCCGTTTTACACAAAGTCAAAACAACTGAGATGATGAGTTTGCAAAAGTGTGTACACCCTCTTATATCTGTGCTTCCCCCCACTGTTAAAAGTGCCTCTGATTAACTCAAATAAACTTCAGATGTTCTAGGAGGCTTTTTTTGTGACATAAAAAAAACAACGTTATTTATTTTTAAAAAAAAAAAAACAAACAAAAAAACATTATTTATTTATTTGTTTTGCTTTCTAGAAGAAGGCCAAATGTTTTGTTCTCACACTGACTGGGATCTGAAATTGTCCATACTTTCCTCTACCTTGACGTCGGCCCCAATTCCAGCTGACTAACCCATTTTCGACGTGTTTGTTCACTTTTTTTTAATCACGGTCTCATTTTTTTCCAGGAACAAAAACCTTGCATTTGAACCGAGCTATGTACACTTGATAGATCTACCGGACTGGACATAAAAATTGTAAAAAATACAAAACAGAGGTGTCACTTGAACAGTTCTTTTTTTTGTTTCCCCGCGGCACTAATCATCATCTTGCCTCTACTGTCGTTGTCGTGTTGACTCCACTTTGCATGTAATCACATTAGCTATCAATAATTAATGAGCAGCAGCTCGCCCACACGAGTTGTCTAGCAACGCGCAAGCAATCGTCGCATTCGCTTCGCGGCGGACTAGATCACAACGCAGAGGCTTTGCCGCCTACCTCGGGAAAAATGTGGGCCACAAATGCGACCTCTGTCAAGACATACTGAAGAACATGGCCGCAATGCCCCAGGGCATACATTAGAAGTCTTCGTTGCTCATCAATAGAGGAATGAAAGAAGAAAATAACCGCAGTGCAATGTAATAAGTCATTAAGGAGAACGAGAGTGGAATAAAAGTCATTGGTATTCATGCCCACTAAAACATGAGTTGATTTTGCTTGTTTTGCTTTGGAGGGTGTGCAGACATGAGAGGGTGTCGCTTTGTTTTTATGACTTAATTGAGCCACTGAGAACTGGTGTGGGATGACTCTAGTCTAACTCTTTTCCAATTTTGTTGTATAGTTCATCAGCGCAACACTGGGCCAACATCCCCGGAATTGCGCTTCGGAGCTTGAATGAAGGCTCAGATAGTAAGGAGAGCTTTAGCTTGGCTGCCAGTGAATCTGCATGTGAGTAATTTTATATATGGGAGTAATTTGTCATCTGTCATTAAATTCTTGATCGACTTGAGGGATGTTTGCTATATTAATCACTAAAAATTACCACCAGATGTAATTGCAGAGATTGCAAAAATGTCAAAGCTTTCTGCATAAAATAGAAAAATGGCAAGAGAAAACAAAATGACTGCAGTGGAGTATTGTCCATACAGTACGCAGTCTCGTCTCAGGCATGAATAGTGCGCACACAAATTATTTTGTCACGTGAAATCAGAGGCAGTTGTTGCAGGAGCGTTTTTGGGCTTTTAGAAAGTCAAACGCAGAATTTTCTTCTTGCTTTCCACAAAGAGAAAAAAAATGACAATGAAAGACGCATCCCTTTTAAAAAAACATTTCAGCTAAAGCGGGCAAAAAAGAGCGTCGTTATGGAAACAGGCCGACAAACGCCGATCACACACAATCGCCATAATCCATCGAGTGACGCGTCAACTGTCCTCTGGACATTTTCTGATGCTGCTGATGCGATTAACTGATGAACCGACTCCAACTAAAAGAACCAAAACTAAACCTACTCCAGAAATGAAGCCAATCAAAGAAACGAGACTAACATAAACTAACTAAAACCAAAGAACTACAAAGTAACAACCAAAGGAACCGAACCAAGTGAAACTAAACGAGAGGAACTGAAACTAAAAGTAAACTAACCAAAGGAGTCAAACCAACCAAAGAAACTAAACCCAGGTGTTTTCACATTGGTTGTTTTAGCGACACACTTGGGGCGGTGATCGTAGGAGATGACAAGAGAATCTTGTTGACATTACGAGGACATGCGAGGTTTTCATCAGAGAGCATCATCAAAGCCTGCGCATCGGAAGCGTCACCTTTGCTACTCAGAACGGATGAATTCCAGAGACGGAAAGGAACATTTCAAAACCGGTTAATTAATAAGCTCCGCAGGGGCCCTTGGTGAGCGTAGTACTCTTGCCTGTAAACTGCTGGAGCCGCGGAGGAGGAGGAGCACCGTTGCATTTCAATGCGGGCGAACAGATTTCCAAGGACAAATGACGATAAGAGCAGCGAAAGTTAATTTACATACACCGGAGAAAATCTCGTACAAAGGCATCGGAGGAAGCCGGCTTGTGAGGAGCCAAGGACAGGCCACGCATTTCGTTTGCCTTTGAAATGATTTGCGCTCGGTGGCCTTTGTGCCCATGAATGAGTGCGCGTGTTTGATGCAAAACAAAAACAAAACAAAAAGATACAAGTCACTCTCACCGGTGATCTTTTCCATTTCAGCCAGGGTCTCCTGGTAGGAGCTGATGATGCCGCTGTATCGCGTTATCACCTCCTTCCGTAAGTTGTCCCAGTGTGGAGAGAGTTCACCCAGCTCCTTCAGATCCTGCACCCTGCAGATAAACACACATTAGCAAGGAACCCGGCGCGGTTATTCTCTGTTGGTGTTCTTTGTCTGGGTAATCCTCACACAGAACCTGAAAAAAAAAAAAAGAAAAAAAAAAACAAGAAAGTGGAACGCACCACAAAAGTGGAGTGCCAGCAAACCTTTCAGCAAAAAAATGGGTCTAAAACTCCAACTTTATTTTGGACGTCATATAACCAGAATATGTTTGACAGTTTTTAATTTCTGGATCTGCAGCTAATGCAGACGTCCTTCACATCATATACAGCAAGGGTGTCAAACTCATTTTTGTCACTTGGAGGGCCATTATGAATTTTACATACTAAACGCACAACAAATTGATGACTAACCAGTTTCAAAAACAGAAGTCAGGAAAAATGACTGTTAATATGGATTACATATGACAGTTTGAAATTTTGGTTCAGACTTTAGCAAGCATCATGGAACTTGACATGCTTGATTTGCTTTCGCGGGCCACATCAAATGATGTGATGGGCCAGATTTGGCCCCCGGGCCTTGACTTTGACACCAGTGATATACAGTATAATGTTATCATGAGAGTGAATTTCTATCCTGCCTTCCGTGCAAACCGAAACCAACTAGAGAAACTATCAAACCAAAGAAACTAGGCCAAACAAAGAAGCGATACCAAACAAAACGAACTGCCCCCTGGCTCCCCCCCCACCCCAAAAAAAAACCTAGATCAATGAAAACTAAACCATCCAAGACACGAAACACACTAAAGAAAGCAGACCAACCAAAACCCAAACAAAACCAAATAAATAAATAAATAAAAACAACTAAGGAAAGTACACAACCGAATGAACTAAACCAAAGAATCCAACCAAAATTAAACCTAACTAAGGAATAAAACCAACTAAATTACATGACCTACAACGAAAAATAATAAAGCAACTCATCCAAACAGAAAAAAAAAAACTTAAGCAAAAATAAAACGAGAACCTTAACCCTGAGACCAACCCAACTAAACTAACCAAAGAAACTAGACAACGCAAAACCTAAACAGACAAAAGAAACCCAATAAAGCCAAATGAAAAGCAGAACCCCCCCCCCATTTCAAAAGTGTATCTTATTTCTATTGACATAATATTTACAGGCAGAAGGCACTACTTGATGTCCACTTCATATTATCCGCTGTGCAGGGGGCGGGGGGGGCTTTTCCGGAAAAAATAAACTCAACAGTTGCTCAGCAAAGCAGTCCAAAGCTATTTTGCATTCTAAAAGTGTTAATTGGAGGTAACCTATCAAATAAAAGAGAGACATCTGGCTCAGGGTGATCAGGCCGAGGGATGGTGGCGAGTGAGGCGGGTTATCAGTCTCTTTAATCAAACTGCGATTGTCTGAGGAGGGTCAAGGTGCACGCAGATGAACAATATGCACATTAGAAAGCTGACATGAGCAATCGCATCCGCTGTTGGATGTCGTTTATTAAGTAGACGATCGAGTTTTGGTCAGAAGTTTAGAACAATTTCAGGCTGCCGCTACAGCTTTTGCTTTTATTCAAAACACATTTTTTGGGGTTGATTTATTGATTTATTACATATGTCAGAGTGTTGCTTGAAATGACCTGACCTGGTGCAGCAAGTTTTCAAATTGTCCGCACCAAAAAGTTGAGTTGAGGAAAGCTTTGCCAATCAGCCAATGGGCTTTTGTTGCTCATTCCATCCTTCTCAAAAATCGGTGATGATAATCTACTGTAGGGATCCCTAAACAGACTCCTATAGCTTTTTATTTATGATATGAAACGTCTGATGAAGGTCACTTGGCCGTAACGGTGCTGTAAATTTTGCGCAGGGTGTCGCGGAGAGCCGCGGGCTGCTGTGCAGCCGCCTTTATTTCAGGCTGTGTTATTGCGCTGGCTCAATTTTAATCACGTCGGGGGCTTTGTGTGCCTGCTCAATAAATCCTGTCCAAAACGAAACGTGAAATACTGGACACACTTTCTAAAACAAACAAACAAACAAAAAAAATCTAAACCAACCACAGAAACCAAACAAACTAAACACGCGAAACCAACCCGATACACCATACCAACCAAAGGTACCCAACCAAACTAAAGCTACGAAACTTAAACAACCTCTGACGCGAAACCAACCAAAACTAAACCCTTCACACAAGCGAAGTAAAACTAAACCAACCATGCGAACTAAAACAAGCAAAGAAAAGAATCCAACCAACGTAAATGAACCAAAACCCAATAAACTAAACAAAATGAAAACTAAACCAAACGAAAAACAAAACCAAGCAAAAAGAAATCACGCACAGATATTGCACCAACCAAAACAAACAAACCAAAACTACACAAATCACAGAACCTAAACATGCCAAAGAAACGAACCCAACCAAGGCAAACCAACCAAAAAAATTTGAAAAATGACACAAACCGAAACCACCCATAGAACTTAAACCAACCAAACTAAACCAACCAGCCAAACAAAACCAACAATAGCCAACAACAGAATATTTCCGCAAAGATGGAAATAAGGCAAACCGTTGTGCTCTTGACATGCATTACCACTGCTTGTTTCTTAATAAGCAGCCAAAACATATTTATTGACTTATTTGTTCCTATTACGAGGGAGCTTTCAAAGCCGGCGTACGCTAAGACGGGAGACAAATGATGTATGGCGGTCATGCTTCGGTACACCCTGCTGTGCTTGCATGTGCTGCGTTACGTTGATAAGGAGGGACTAATAAATATTAAATGATCAACTCTAAATGTAGCATAAATGATCTGCGCAGGGAGCAAATCATACTTAATCACTCTTCATTGCTGACAAAAAAATAATTGCAAGTCCTGCTCAAAACGGGATCGCATTAGTATGACTAAACAGACGCATTCATTTATTTTAGTACGTTATTCGTTTTGGTGAAAGACGGCATGGAATTAAAGCGATGATGAGGTGCCAATAATAGCAGGATGCTTGATGGGAATTAAGTCCAGCAGTATATTTTATGCAAATTGCTTTGTATAACATGGCCGCAAACGCGCCACACATGGCTGACACACCCCAAAATGTGATTCCATAGCAGTCTGCACAAAAGTGGCCAACATAGCACTTCAACATGGGCTGACAAACTCCGACAACACGAACACCTCCACCACCTACGTCACAAACATGGGCGACATGCTGCGAGCGGCACGTGCCTAAAAAATAGCCGACATGCTACACATTCCTCCATAAACATGGCCGACACCGCAACGCACTAAATCAGAGGCGTCCAAAGTTTTTTTTCCTCTCAGGGCTGCATACAGAAAAACAGAAGACTGTTTAGGGCCCCTTTGGAATTCTTCATTGATATTAAAAACGGTGAAGCAAAGCAATTTCATATTGTTTATAAATCGTACTGATTTAAAAAAAAACAACAACAACAAAAAACAGGTACATCACAGCTTTCTGTTCAGTAGTGATAAGCAAATTTTGGGGTGCACAACACGGTCATTGGTGACATGTTACATATTGACGCCGACAATGGGGTGCACAACACGGTCATTGGTGACATGTTACAACATATTGACGCCGACATACTAAAACACAATCCCAAAACATGTCTGCCACAATTCGACACCCTCCTCAAATATGGCCGACAAACTGCAACTTACACCTCAAACATGGCCGACGTGCTTTGCTGAAAAAAAACCATCCTGTATTGTACCGCTAAGCTGCACCATTCTGCTACGATCTACAACATATTCTGTTCTAGTATTTTAGCATTGCGCTATGAAAATGAATACTTGTGATAATAATGGCGCTCGAGTGAATTCTAAAGACGCTTGGAAACACAACGGCAGATGTGTGCATGATTACGGCTTTGTCCTCGCGACAATCGACGATGTGTGCGCCGTTGCAGCGCGCGTGCGCGTGTCCTTGAGATTGCATTCCAAATCAACCACGGCCCTCTTCTGTCACCATTATCAACCACATGTCTGTCTGTATCACATTTTTCATCTTTCTTGTTATGACACGAGCAGAAGGAACTGACCGGAAACATTGCACGTGTGTGTATTCAAGCTTTCTTCTGGCTCACCAGCTTGCGAGCAATAAGAGAAGACGTTGTGGCCATGTGACATCACCATCTTACCTGCTCATGTCCTCTTGCATGTAGAGCGAGAGCAGCTGCTTGGGGATGCTGAAGGACAACGTGCACTCCTCCATTTGCTCGCGCACCAGCATCCATTTGCTGTCCGCTGTCTGGAATCTGTACACTTTGCATACCGGGTTGGTGAACACTGTGGAGAAGGGGGCATAAAAATAAGGGGAGAATTAGATGGAGGGTGGGTGGGGGACTGCTTGCACACTAAATGGAATGATTGACATATTGGCGGAGCAAAAACTAGCAAGCGGGATCATCATTTTGACTTGTGACTGCACAATGGAAAAAAACATTGCGTTGTTTGCCAAAGTAGAACTAGAGAGTCGTAACCCGTCGTTAAAAAAGCGGCCACCAGAGAGCCCCCCAATGACCAGTGATGGGACATCACTTCCCCAAACCAAAATGACGACGACGAGAAAAACAAGAGAGCGAAAACAACGAGCAACGGGGGGAAAAAAAAAACGTAGCAAGATCGGGAACGTCTGGAAAATTGCACATGAACAATGGCTTGAGCAAGGCGAATTATCCCACAGTCGGTTATCGGCAGGAGAGTCCGACAGGTGCACGGCTGAAGCGGAACGCCCACCGCTCAGCTTGAACTAAAAACAGACAGCGCATGACAGGAAATGACGAGCTTGAGACATAATCAACTAACCAGTGACAGAAATGGTTGCCATTTGGGACTACCGCGTGGCAAAACTCCCAAATTAGTGCTACTGCATCTAATAAAGTAACGTGACTTAAGATTTAAAAAAAAAAAAAAAACACACCCACACACAAAGCACTGCTGGCACACTAAATCCTTCAAAGTCGAATTGAGAACGAAGGAAAAAAAAAAAAATCAATTTGATGATCAATAGCGGTGTCTTCCGCAGATAAGAAGCCTTTCATCTTCTACTTCTGGAGTCAGCAAAGAAAAACATTGTCCTCACTTTTGCTTTTGCCATTTTAATTACATATTTATTGTGCAACAGTCGAGTCCTTTTGAAACCGCAAACCTCCCGAATTCTTCCCCATTAAGCCAATTCCCATTCCCGCGCGTCTCCCGCGCTGAGCGGCTCAAAAAATGTGGCGAGTGTTGACGGCGTGGAGGCGCGCTAATACCCTTATCTGCTCGCTAGCAGCAGTAGGAGAGGAAGCGGCGCGCCTCGAAACGCTGTTTACCGCCACTTTTTGCGTCCCGGCGCTGCAGTCAAGACAGCGAGTCAGTCAATAAGTCGGCCACTGTGAAATGCGGCGCTGACGACTCGGAGGCATTGAAACACGCACGGCCGCCCTCGGAGGGAGGGACGCCGCTTTAAGCCGCTCCCTGACAAAATAGCTTCCCAACTGACTGAAATGAAGCCGATTCTCCCCTGCAATTTTCAGCTTTGCGAGTTGAAAATGGCATTCGACTACTTTGCACACTGCGATTTGAATTTGAGTCATTGTTCAACTCTGTTTGGCCAATTACAAGTGATTGACTCAACCAGCAAATTAGTTATTATTCATTGGACAATCAATACACGTCAATCGTTATATACGGCAGCAAGGATCGTCTTTTGCACTGCTTGACTCAGCCTCTGCGCATAAATCTTTGATTATTTTTCATTGTTCTTAACATCCCTCTTGATCAAAGTGTCTCCATGTTGCTATTAATTCAATTAGCGTACAGGTGGCCTTTCAAAGCCCTTCAAGCAATTGGCCTTGGGTCCAACCTCGCCACTTTCATCATTTACTATTCCATTAAATGGCTGTTTTGGGCCAGAACTGACATTTAGCGAATCACGGAAGCTGCTCCATCAGCGGTGAGGAAGTGAAATAAAAGAGGTGAGAACTCCTTAAGGTCGCGACCCCCTGCTGGGTCAAAATTTCAAGGTCCGTTGTCATGGTGTTGCTGTGCCAACACGCCCCCCCCCACTCCATGCCCCAGCTGCACATGCATGGCAAAATGCAATATGTGTGATGCAATTCAGTCCTCCACTTTTATTACCTTTCAACTTGAGCATGAAGAGAGCAAGCGCGGGAGAGAGGGGTGTGTGTGTGTGTGTGTGTGTGTGTGTGTGTGTGTGTGTGTGTGTGTGTGTGTGTGGTGCACGCGCTTGTTCTACCAAAGTCATTTTCTGAAGAGGTGTGAGGAAGAGAAACTGCGGTGCGGCAACAACTGGGTGAAGTTCAAGAGTTTATCTGCTCCTCTGTCGGACCTTCAAGTGTTGCTCGCTACATGACGCTAACTCATTTGACGACTGTCCGTCAATGCGTTGGTTGTTCAATCCACATGCCACTCAAAAATGTGCGGTACCACTGATTGGTCAGTCAAACCGCTCACCCACTGGTCAGTCAGCATGTCACTTAATATGCAGCGTCACTGACTGATGTCTTGTCAAAACTCTGGCTGAACCTTTGACTGTTCCGTCGCTAGCTTTACTCTCCATTGGTCAGTCTATAGTACTGAATTGACATGAATGTCCGTCACTAGCCATCTACATATCATCAGACACCAGTACGATTGATTGGTTGGTTCCATGAAATAATCAGTGGAACAGTGTCCCGTAAAATGTCATCAACGAGAATCCGAACAAGGAGTGCCAGCGATGGCAAATGTCGTCAATTACACTTTTTGGCTGGGAAAAGTCTAGGAAAACTCTGGTTTGATCATGAAGCGAATTTACAAGTGATGACATGTGATGACACACATATACGCATGCACACATACATGCGTGGCAAAATGCACACACACCACTACATCCTACTACCACTACTAAATAGTGTGCAAATAGTTTATAAAGTCTGACACTCAGGGGTACTCTTTTTGACAATGGCTAGCATTGAAAGAGTAAAAGAGCAAAATGTTTATTGCTTTCAGCAGTAAATGTATATTTATCAAAGTCTAAGGATGTGAATAGACACAAGTACCTGGTCCTGTCAGGAGGTGGTCTCTGTCGACGCAGCTGTGGGACGCAGACTCGCACACTATGGGACACTGCGAAGACCACAAAAAAAAAAAAAAAAGAAAACGACTAACATGAACATGTTTTATTTCCCAAAAAAACAACACACAGAAAAATCCTGGTGGTTGATGTCCAGCCTCACACAGAAGCATCCAGCAGAGTCCTTGCAGTGCAATCACCGAAGCCGCCCGCTGAGGCCTCGCTGATTGCACTGTGCCGCGGATGTTCATTGCGGAGACTGGAGCAATGATCAACTCCCCATTGTCACTGCCCACTTCACTTGAAATGACGAGGGGCCTTTTCACACTGCACTTAGCAACACTCCGTTGATGGAGCCATTTATTGCATATGTGCCGTGAGGGCGCCATGTCAGACCGCACAAGCTGGCCAATTGCCGCGACACGACGTGCCCTCAAGCTGAAAAGCGTTCGACTCCCGAGCGGCATTTCAGTAGCGCCAGAAAGGCACATCCAAAACGGCGACTGCACACCGCGCCAACAATTTGACAATTCAAAATTCCTCGTGAGCACTAAACTGTGCATCGCCAAGTGTCGCTTCAGTCATACGACAATGAGAACGCCCAGTTCTCATCTGACTTTGGAAAAGTTTGGGGGCCACAATTAGTACCCCTGTACTAGAGTGTCTCTCAGGCCCAACGCTCACAATTTGCAATCCAAACGCATCAAATGCTATCCCTACCTGCCTTGACAGGGGGCGTTATGTTTGTGGTGCTCACATAGAGGGCCGATGCATTCAGTCTGGTCTCCTCTTCACACAAATCGTGACGCGGCCGTTTTCCTTGCCGCATGACTCATTGAACAAGGCGAGACAGGCAAAGCTGTCACAGGAAAAGAAGCAAAATGTCGGCGAGGGCCTCGTCGATCAGCGGCAACGGTCAGATACGCGCTACAGCGCTTGTGGCGTGCGATAACGCAGAGCGACATTTTAGCGGCAAAAGGTCTCGGAAAAGGATTGAGTGGAGGAGAGGAAAGGCCCGGGGGAGGGGGGGGCACGGCTGTAAAAGACCCCCCCCCCACCTCAATAGTTGTCAGCATGTGTTTCATGGGCTCGTGATCAAAAGGTGATCAGAGGCTCGCTCTTGTTTTTTTTTTTTTTTTTAAATGAGGTCACACATATAGTATATTCATGAGGGACACACACGTACATGTCTCTCCCTTCATCTTCTGCAGTGGGAACAACACACACAGGAGAAATACGCAAACTCACATTGACCTACTCTTAAGGTGACTCTTTCTCAGTCATTTAAAAAAAAAAAAAAAAGCTTCCAGTGGTAATTTGGTACATATGATTTCAGTCTACATTTTAAAAATTCAGCGGTACCTCTACTTACGGAATGAATTGGCTCTGGAAGAAATTTCACAACTACAACATTTTGTCGAGGAG